TGTCAAATCCGGCCAATCCGATCGGGGCGAACCCAACGAACCCTTCCAGCCGAACGGAGCCGAGGAGCTGCCTTTGAACTGCTCCAAGACTCGTGCTGCAGCGTCGCCAGGCTGCAGCTGCGCCATGGCCACGGTGTCATGCCCAGGGGCCGCGAATTGGCGCTAGCGGTTCCGGACACCTACTGGGTCACTTCAGTCTGTTCGGGGAGCGTTCTTGGGTTGAATTTCTTCTTCGCTTTCGGTCGAACGAACGTCCTAAAACCTCCAGTCATTCCCAAACGTTCACTTCTAATCCTTCGAATTTTACAAGGTTTTTTCTGCAAGTCTGTAGTTTCGTTGAACAAAGTTGCCTTCCTTGGCCCCAAACGAAAGGCAAGCGTTCCTACATGAGGGTGCAGGCTGGATACTTCAAGAGTTAGTTCTGTGCGCAACGGTCGTCATCGGTCCGGGGCCGCTGTTTGGGGGTCGAACCGGCTGTCGGTCGAATCCTGTCGAGCTACGGCTGTCGGTCATCAAAGCTGCAGCGAGCATTCCACGGCACTGCTCTCGGCGAGCAGCTGGACACAATTCGGGAAGCAATCCGTGACAGTCAGGACGGCCCCCCCCCCAGCCCCACCAATTGCACACCTCCTACCACAAAATCATGCTGAAAAAGCATGAACAAGCAGCAATTCAACTGCTCTTCATCTGTCTCCAACGCGACCGGGTCGTGTTCATCACCGGTCCGGGGGTCCCGGGGGGGGTTCGCTCGAAAACACTGAGTCCCCGGCCTTTGGGGCGCTCTCATCCACCTGGCATTTCTCGGGCTGAGCTGCGAGCTCTGCGGAGCCGAAGAAAAGACTTGAAGTGACATGGCACACGCACCCCATGTGAGTAATATATATATATATTATATATATATATATAGACCCCCTATTTGAATTGAACATGCTCTTCATAGGGGGTTATTGATCAAGAGTCTACATTGCGTCAACAAGTCAACAAGATACAAAAAGTGCATACAAAAATGACAGCAGAATCGAGAGGCCTGATTCCATGAAAGGGAGAGACATCTGCGTGTTGGTGAAGGTAAAGGGAGCTGTATGCAAGGACGAAGCCCTAAGATTTGATATGGGGAGAATTGATGAGAATTGTGGTAGGAAAGTGCAAGAATTGATGAGAATTATTGGCTCTGTCCCCTGTGTCTGGTCGCTCCGGTCTGCACGGTGCAACGTTTCACGATTCACCGGTCAGCCTCGGAGGCAACGCTCCGCAGTGGGCCCTGCAGCTGCAGAAGACCATCCAATCATACAGGCCGGGAGATCCCATTTCCGTGGATTTCGGGGGGTGGAATCCTTTGACATCAGCTGCGAGGATGAAGGCATTGGTTGGATCTCACGAAATCAGATCAGATTCCGATGGAGAAACCATGAGAAACCGGATGCAAGAACAAGCATGACTAAGCCAACCAACCAAATGCTGCTGGTCCAAGACCTTCGAAAACCTACATCTCAGATCAAGTCGCCACCAAAATTCTGAATAAAGCATCAGCTTCGGCACGCTCCCCAAAGCATTGCCCGAAAAAATAAGCGTTCTTCAGCAAAGGCAGGAAGTCATTCTACCAAAACCCTCCTGACCGGTACCATCTTCAGATGGTGTGCACGAAGCGTGTCCCTTCAAACGATTGCCCTCCGCTCCGGCACCTGTGGTGACTTTGGGGGCGATGCCTTTGGCTCAACTGCTTCATGGGTGGCCAGCGGAAGCAGCTGAGCCAAAGCCTTCAGCCTGGATGAAGCTCTCAGACAATGAGGGCCATGACCAAACAACATCAAATAACATTTTGCTATCAGCATATATATGCACACACCTCACTATGAAATTCTGCGGTTGTTACTGTTGAATACTCAAGCTTGGATACCCAACACGTGTAAAGTATCACTGCGGTCTCTCTAAGGATGCTAGTTAATGATTCCAAGATTTGCTCAAGAAGGCCAATCCAAGCATCTACAGTGGTTTTTCAGAATAGATGGCACGCCAAAGATGTCTTTGTATGGGGTCCATATAAACCACCGTTTGGGGATTTGCGCCATCTACTGTACTCTGAAAGCACAGTACAATTGCATGCAAGCTTTAACTGTTGGAGCCGAGGTGCGCTTTGGCTGAGGCTTCCTGAGTCATATATCAAATTATGACGGAAACACCACTTATTTATGAAGGTGGTGGCTTGAAATTCCTCAGGCCGAGAACGACCACGACGCCCAGAAAAGCCTCCAATCAATCAGAGGACTCTGCAGACTCAGAAGGAAAATAACAACTTGCGGTCGATATGATTAAGGCCACCAGAGATTCTTTGGGTCTGTTCCTTCTACGACGGCACGGGTCCAACCACGCGGCGGAACGGTGAGAAGCTGGAGAAGCGGGCACCGTAGGCGCCAGCATGGCCAACAGGCCGAAGGGCAGGGCGAGCTGCCAACTGTGGGCAAATGTGGAGAAAGCGACTGGTTTGACATTGGCCTGCTGTTTGGGGTCTTGGGTTGAAGGATGTTGAACGGAGCTACCTGCCAGACTTATGGATTTGGAGGTCTCTTGAAATGCAGTCTGCGATGAAGGAACAATTTGACCTCCATAATTAGTCATTCACAGAACTATGCTGAGTTCTTGTACTATCTTATAACATTACAGCTGTCAATATTGTGGTATGTAATATATTTGCAGATTGGCCTGGCGCAAGCTTCAAGCAGCTGCGGTGCAACCTGTGCTGCACTTCTCCCGCGCGTCAAGATGTGGAGCAGCTCAGCAGACCTCGGTGGCACCAAACATGTTTGATCCCCCCAAACATGCGGCGCGACATGTAGTCAAGACATGTCAAACCTCAAGGCCTCACCAGTGGCCTCAACCCCAATCTCATCCATCAATCTCTGAATCATTCTCATCCATCCCTTCTTCCATGCAATCCCACCTTTCCACCATCTTCTAGGGCTTCCCAACGCAGCAAATGCTTCCACCGCCTCCACCTCCCCACCATCGCTAGCCGCGAGGAACGCGGCGCACTCGCCACCAAAGGTCCCGGCGGTGCGGGCCAGCCTGGGCGAGGGTCTACACCTCTCACTGGGTCATGGACGCCTCTGGCTGTAGTCGCTAAAAAATACCAGCTGCAACCTAATCACGATAGCCTCTTTTTTGATTGGATTCACACTGTCAAACTGCTATAATATTATAGATATATATATATATATTATATGTATAGACATACCCTAGGCCTCCAGCCAGAATAAATTTAAATAGGCGTTACCGTTACCGAATCAACTAAGGATTTTACACTACAAACACCCGGTCGTTCCCATTTGTTCAATGGTCTTGGAAGTCTAGGGCTAGGGGCACATCCACAGACGACTCCATGGCAGACATAAAGCACCAGCGTCCCCGACGCGTCCACCCCGACCTTCTCCGACCTCCAGCGGAGCGATCGACGTCGAGCTGCTCATGTGGCAACATCACTTCGGCTTGTGCCCCAGCCAGCCAGGCAGCCTGGCCCACGCGAAGGGCGGGTGTCCAGGGCGAGTCGTTTGCGAGCAAAACTCCTAGAATCTCCAAGACCGCAAAAGCCTAACTTTATAGAATCTGATTGAGTTGAATCTGATTGATTTTATTCCCTGGATTTCCGTAACCTCACCAAAACGAACCAACGTCCCAACATCTGCGCTGTTTCATCCCTGTCTCCCTTCCCCTGCCCGTCTCACTTGATCCGCCGATCCACCACTCTGCAACCACTGAGGTCTCCACCCCTCCGCCACCCACCGGCCAGTGCCTCCTTGATGACCAGCTCCGCGTTCGCGGCCTTCGCCCGGATGCCCGCGCGCACGAGGCGTGTGAGCTCCAGGGGCGTCGCCTGGGTCTGGGTCGTGTCAAGCGCGGAGCCAGGTGACATCGAAGGAGCCGCGGGGTGGGGCGGTCCTAGGGAGGATTGAGCACCAGGTGGCGCAGGTGGTGCTTATGTATCGTGCTTGGGTTTAGGGGGAAGGGAAAGCTCCTTGAGGCTTGACTGGAAGAAAAATGCGATTGAGGACGGAAGTTCTCCGAGCAGCCCTGGCAGAGGAGAGACACAGGTGGTGCACTCAGAAGTGTCCAGCACTGTGTCCAGCATGTCCGGTCACATTCGTTTGCACCATCTGCCTTGAGGTCCTAGTGAGCTCTTGGCTTTCCACTGTCATATCATGTCATATCATGTATAATAACCATTAAAAACCTTGTGGCTTCGTCTCAGTGAAAGCTTTTAATGAACAACACCCAACTGCTATATACTGCCTGGCACTGGACACTCCATCAAGGCTTCCCCTCCATCAGCTGTGGCACCCTGTTTCTGGGCCCCATCAGGACCCCCGACCTCTTTGAGCGTGAAGCGTGCTGCCTCCAAGATCACCGTGACGTGGGTACTCTCCAGGAACCGCGCGTGGCAATAGGCGCCGCACACCTCGTCCGTTCAACGAAAAACGCGTGCGCCCGCGCGCGCCCGCGTCGACGAAGAAGTCGTCGGGGCCATGGTCGAAGGCTGAGGAGTTGGCGAATTGCTCCAAAATCCATGTGCAGTCGATTTAGTAGAACACTATAGAACACTGGGCTCTCGGAGTCTTGAGCCTGAGGCCTGACCAAAACCGAGCCGGCCATCGTCAGGATCCTCTGGTGTTGTTCCTTTGGAGCTGGGTCCGTTTCACCCGTCACCTGTGCCAGGTGTGGTGCCCGCAGCTGGTCGGCGCTGAGCCGCTGTTGCAGCTGTGGCGCCAGCGCGGCCAGCAGCGGCACTGGCGACGCGACGGGGGCGCGACACGCCTCCAACCTACTGGCGATGGCCTCCAACCTAGTAGCGATGGCCATCCCTGCTTAGCTGCTTAAGGTGATTTCAAAGCACCCACCAAAATCATGGAGCGTCGACATCCCGTGCAACCCGGGGTCATGCTTGCCCAGCATGGTTTGGACTTACAGCCATTTTTCTCAGATATCCCGGACTTGACTCCCCACATTCTGGTGACCAAGTTCAGGTGGTTTTGGGTGGCTTCTCCGAATTCCCTCCGCTCGCCCCGGGTTCACCCCAGGTCGACCGTCCACGGACGCCACGGTGGACGCTCCCCCTTTTTGGCATCAGAAGAGATGCAGAAGCAGCGCGCGGAGGTACCGAGACTCCGGGAGCATCAGGTGGCCCGGATGATCCGCGGCCTGCAGAGGGACGAAATAGACTTGACAGTCCACTAGTAGGGCGCTTGTTTCTACTAGCTTCTTGTTACTACTAGTAAGGCACCTGTTACTACTAGCGATGCACTTGTTACTAATAGCTTCTTGTTTAGTCCACGTGTTTCTGCCCGGAAGAAAAAGAGGGGAGAGGGGTGAGCCTTCAGTGTTGATTTCACTGTGGTTCCTTCAAGGTCCTTCAGGTTCAGGTGGTGACTTCCCATCCGCGAGGACGAAAAAACCATCCTCCCAGGCGCGGCCTTTGGGAGATTTTGGGGTCTTCCACTTCCGCTGTTTTTCTCTCCGCAGCCCCGCTGTGCAACCACAAAACTCAACATACTCAACTCTCCACTGCTCACCCACCGCCCTCTTCGGCATTGAACGTGTTCAACAAGCTTCTGCTGCCGCCCGTGCATCGCCGAAAACACGTGGTCCGCCGAAAAACCAACGCATGGCCGTTGGCCGGCGGCCCCCCGGCCTGCGCGCCGCTGCTCACCAGGCGATAATCGCGCTGGAGCCATGCCAAGGACCGGTGGCAAACTCCCATGAGCTCTCGCTCGCCTGGTCAGCCGTGCTTCGAAGCGCAGCACAGGTTCCCCGCCTCCTTTTCTTTGGTCTTCCGGTGCCGGCACCCCTCAAAAGAGAACAAAAAACATGGGGGGCCTGTGTGTCATGGTCATAACTTTACCTCCCAGATCCTCGCCCACCTATGCTATCTCTAAACCCTGCTGAGCACCCTACAATGGCTGGGCGCAAACATCTGGACGACCTGCAACCACATCAAGCCCCTTTTGTTTGCCCTTCTTGAAACATATTGAAACCCAACTTCCACGGATTTCGGCCGATCAACAAAAGAAAAAGGTGCAGGGAGGCCTATGGAAAAGGTGCAGGAGGCGACGAAGAGCATCCCACCCGGCGCACAAAGCGAGGCCGCCGCTGTGACCAGCTTCTCGTAGTGCCGCAGGGCCTCCCATTCCCACTCCATCCCCCAGCATACCCTCCATCCAATCATTCAGTAACAAATATTGTACATAAATCTAGAGAACAACAACAACAACACTATATAATTACAGTATACTTTACAGTACTATATCTATTATATTAATGGTCCCGGTCCCTGGAACTCACATGGAAGTGGACCGACACCGTGTTTGGTCTTCGGATTTCATGGTCTTCTAAGAGGCCATGCTACTAGGAGCAAGGACGCTACTAGGGGCTCCTGGTCTTACTACTAGTAACAAGTGCCTCGCTACTAGTAACAAGTGCCTTACTACTAGTAACAAGAAGCTATTATTAGTATCAATAAAAATGTCCATGTGAGTTCCACCTCGCATCGCGCACGGCATCGCCTTGGACGCCGTGAGCCGATCCACGCCCAGGTTCGGGGGATCCAGGATCCTGGGGGCCGCGCCAGGACCCGGGGGTGGGGACCCGGTGATCAACAGAAGCAAGCTGAAGACACCTACTAGTAACAACTAGCTTCTTGTTACTACTAGTAAGGCACTTGTTACTAGAAGCGATGCACTTGTTCCTACTAGCTTCTTGTTACTAGTAGTAAGGCACTTGTTACTAGAAGCCAACTGAAAGCACCAAGCTTTCATGATCGGAGTCTTCTCACCATCCAAACAACCGCCCAACAGTGTGGTGAGTCGACCAACATCAATGGTCATTCCGCCGTCAAGGTGCACCAAGTCAAACTCCGAGTCTTCAAGGTCTTCCCCTGCAGCCTTTTGCCGGCTCTTCTCCTTGTCGGCGCTGTCGTTTATGGTCTTTCCCAGCGTACATCCGGCATCGTCCAAAACCGTGGGGGGGGTTGCACCGATGAGTTTGACACGTCGCACGGCGTCATGTCTTTGATGAGTTGATGCTTGAGTATGACAGCTCTCTTAACACTCCTTAAGGTCCTGAACCATGCATGCAGCCTTGGGTGACAAATGAACAGAACCATGGCTTGTTTTCACGACCTGTCACGAAACAGCTGCAGATTTTCTCCCAGGTGGTGGATGGATCAACGTGCGAATGTCTGGACATTGGCTATAGGAGGCTTATTACAGGATGCTTTAGATTCACCTGGGGCATCACCTGTCCCTTCACCTGGGGCTTCAAGTCAAGTCACCTGACTGGCACGCGGCCCCGCGCCCGTTCCCGCCCGTTCCCCGCCTGCAAGAAGTCCATGGCATCCGCGCGGATGGACCTCCAAGTGTCCACCGGTGTCCATGGCGTGTCGACCGTGTCGACCGGATGTCCTCTTTGCGGATCGTTCGGTCGCGTCCTTGTTCCGTTCATAGCGATGGCCTACAGGTGAAACGAAGCTTCTATAGCTAGTAGCATGCAGTAGCGATGGCCTCCAAGCTACGACCGCGATGGCCTCCACCGAGCATAGCCGTCCTAGTTACATGAAATATGTTCATGTCTTTTCCTCCTGCTTGTAAGGCAAGGCACCTGCCCCGACACCCCTCACCCTACCACACCCCTTTCTGCGCCGCGCGCCCTCACGCGACCCCCACCGGTCCCGGTGCCCCGGGACCGGCGCCTCACGCAGCTCTGCACGGCGTTCATCGCTGCGGAGCGCCGCAGCAGCTCCAGCGCCGCCTCGCTGCTGTCGACACACAGCACCGAGGCGGCACCTACGGCGCACCGGGCGCGCGCGAACGGGGGTTGGGTTTTTCGGTCGCTCCTGTTGGGGGGGGCGATCGCGGTTCCCCCAAGTAGGGCGAGAGATGGCGAGAGGAGTTGTTCTGGCAGGGTTGGGCTTACTTCAAAGTCTTCGGTTCGATGTTCGAATCCAATGTTGATCGAACCAATGAGCTCTCGAAGCGCCGGATTCGCATTCGGAATCAATCGCAGGTTGATCCGGAGTCGAGTCTACAGCCCTGGCTGGTGTTTGAGTGCTGCTTGCGGCCAAACTGAGCTTGGTGCCGTAATGCGCCAACAGCACGCCGAAGCCACCAACCTTTGGGGTGAAGGTTTGAAGTCTGAAGAACTCTCAAAACGAGCCAGGGGACGCTCAAAACAGCTCCTAGTAGCGTCCTTGTTCCTAGTAGCGATGCCAGGAGCCCCTAGTAGCGTCCTCTACTCCCCCCCAACCGCGAACCATAGGAACCATGTTCTTTGCCGCTCCATCGTAACGCCGAACCCCCAGCCACCCCGCTGGCGATGGAAGAAACGCGCCCCTTCGTTCAGCCACGAGGACGTAGCTGTAGACGTCCAGCACACGGGGGAGCGAACCCCGCACGAGGTTGGCCAACATCAAGCGATTCTCTCGCTGGTCGTAGTACCAGCCAGTCTTTTGGCCACTGAGCAGGTCCTGGGCAGCGTTTTCGGGCCCAGAAAGGGGTGGGTCTCAAGCGGGCCCGTATAGCTCTGGTGCCTGTCTGTGTCTGTCTAGGGCTCCTTTCGTCGGTGACTCTGCTCCCACTACCAGTAGTGGTTTTGATGATGGTCCTCCACCCACCGGGGAGCTAGGTGAGCACCATGCTAGCACCTGCCTGCCGGACTCGTGCTCCCCCTCTGGAGCCCAGGCACCACGGCAAAGGATGCACCATGCTCTCTCAGCTCGCTGGGGCCCTCGGTTTTGGTGAAGGAATGTTCATGAAGCACCAACCACTTTTCTTTGACCCAATGGCGATGGCCTCCAACCACCACCAACACCGTGTTTGTGGATTACATCTTGCAAGTTTCCGCTATCCGCATGTACTGTGCACGCAGACACGGCGGCCTACGCAGCCTGCGCTTGACTTCTGGCAATTTATGGAGGAGTATTTATTTTTGGATTTTTTTTGTTTCTTTTGGATTTTTTTTGTTTTTCGTGGCTTCTGGCTTCTGGCTTCTGTGGCTTCTGGCTTTTGTGGCTTTTGGCTTCTGTGGCTTCTGTATCTGTCTATACCTATCTATTTATCTATCTTTCTTTCTTTCTTTTGGCAGCTGTTCTCCTTTCTCTTTTTGTATTTGCTTTTCCTGTTGTTTTCGTTGCAGAGACGAAACAAGCAAGCAAGCAAGCAAGCAAGCAAGCAAGCAAGCAAGCAAGCAAGCACGAGCTGCTCACCTTTGGATCTGGTGTGCTGCTGGGGGGGG